ACTGGACGCCGGGGATACTGCTAAGTAAGCTGCAATTCCGAGAACAGTCCCCACCAGTGATGATGAGCCCCATGTGTCAGGAGGGCTGTGACTAAGAACCCCTGCTTTACCCTAGGAACTGCTATAGACAGTCTCCCCTCCAGTTCTTTGGAATCACCTCAGATTTTCTGTGATTTACAGACAGTGCTGTAAACATGGACAGTTCTATGCTTTTGTTTCGTTGAGGTGGTGGAGGGTAATGACCCTAATACTGACTCTTAAGAGAGGCCCATCCTGTTGAGAATCTCCAGCTAACTGACTTAGCTTCAGTGTGGCACTCCTGTCTTGCTGGACCAGATCTCACCTCTACCACCTCACCTGCCTCTTTCCTGTGATATCTGGTGGGCATTCCTCTCTGGGAAACCTGCACTGGTCACATTGTGGCCCCAAACATTCCAATATCCCAATACCTCTACCTGATAAAGGATGCATGGTCCCTGGCCTGTTTATGTGAAAACACATGCTGCTTGGTATTGTGCCGAAAAGCTTCAGAATATTTAAAAAATTTTGTTTATAAAGCAAGGATATTCTGTGTTTTAGCCACTGAGATGCTGGGCTCATATATCCTAAAAATGGTCATTCTGAATAATGATTTTACAGGCTTTCAAACGAAAACAACATACAGTGTGAGTAGGGAAAGATATTTATCTGACTAAGATAGCCAGGCCCATAGCTATGATCAGAACAGGGATTCAATTGGAATGAAGGGATATGGTTGGACTTTGGTGGGAGACGTCCTGATAGGTACAACCAGTCCAGGGAGGAATAGAAACCCAGACAACCGAGAGTGGGGCTTGAAAGAAAGCTTTGGCTTCTGGGGACTTTTACAGTATGAGAAGTTTAAGTTCTCAGTTTCAGGATTGGAGTCTAAAATGTAACGATGAGCTTTGGGACATTAATGGCATGGGAGGGGTGAAGGAACAGGGCTACCCCAAAGTGCCCACAGGAGCACTGAGCTCATCTCACTGGGGGTCAAGCCCCAGGAGGCTGGGTGTGATCAGAAGAGGACTCTGCCAGGCTCTCCAGTCCCTTCCCTTCTTTCTCAGAGGAGAACTTAATCCAGACACCATGTTCCCATGCAGTATATGACTGAATAGCATCTTTCAAAGTTCAGTCTTTGGCCCTGGTCTTCACACGGCTGCATTCTTGCTCCTCCCCAGCTGCCTTATGTCTGGTCCTGTGCCACCCTGCGGAGCTCCCTGAGATGGCCCCACCCCAGTGGCTATGGTGTTTTGGGGGATTTGGAGAATCCATTGGGCATAAACTCTGCTTAGGGCAAGGTTCACCTTGCTCCTTCTTGGATAATTCTTTTATTCAATTCTCTGAAAATTCAGGCTGTATTTTTTGGGGTGGGTGGGTGGGTGGGTGCGTTGGATCAGAAAGCCATTGGTCACAGAAATCTCAGCTAGCCATCAACAAAACCGTCTAGAAGGGTGGATGTCCTGAATGCTCCCGATGCAAAGCAATCCTGTCTCTAACATTAAAAACTTGTCGTCATCTACCGCAAATCAAATCCCAAACAACCAACAACTCAAAGGGACAAATGCTGCCTGCAAGTCTACACCAAACATTGTCCACTGTGGGTCCAGCTGCCAGGAGGGAGGCATAGGCAGCTGTATTTGTGCTTCTGTGGGGCCTGGCTGGATTTAGTTCAGGTGGTAGCGATGCTCTCCCCGGGTGATATGGGATGAGAACTCGTACCTGTCCCGGCTGTGATAACCACACATGTTACACTCAAAAGGCTCCCGGAAGCCATGGCAGCCCATGTGGATGGTGTACATGACGTGATCCAGGAAGAGCACGCGGCAGTGTTCACACTTGTAGACCTTCAGCTGCTCGCCACTCGTGCTGACGACGCGGATGGCATCCTGCGAGTTCTCTGAGGCCGCCCTCAGCACCTCATAGGCCCGCTGCTCCTCCTTGAGGGCCAGCCCGTTGTGCACATGTGGGGTGATGTGGTTGGTCAGGTAGATGAGGCCACTGCGCTGCTCCTCTGCGTTGCTCTCGGTGTCCGTGGAGTCTTGGCAGCTGTTGCTCGGGGAGGCCTCCCGCTCCGATGACACAGACTTGGCCTTGGACAGCAGCAGCAAGTTCTCCACAGCGCTGTCCTGCGCCGAATGGTTGGACCGTGGGGGGCCATCTGCGGGGGGCTTGTGCAGCTGGTACATGGAGCTGATGACAGGCACCACCTCAGAGCTGCCAGGGGGTGTCTGCACCAGCGGGCGCAGGGACTCGGCCCCCAGGTAGTTGATGGCATTGTTGATGGCCTGGTCCATCACATGGGATGTCATCATCTCGTCCTTCTCATAGCTGGCACTGTCATAGGGCATCTCTGACAGGCACTTGTCTCCTGTGGGAAGTAGGTGACCATTAGTAAAATCTATACCCAGGGGGTTGGAAGGTGTCCCTAGTGTCACAGCAGAGAGGACACATTTGCCCAGGCACAGGGTGGAAAAAGGGAACATCCTGCCCAGGGTCGTACTATAATATGTGCTTTGAGAAATCCTATTTATCCATGAATAAGAAAACTAAATGTTGTCCATGTCAGCTTGAACTGTGCATGTTTCACAGGGCTAACCCCCATCTTTCATTAAGTAAGGTAAAATTAACACTATTATATTAAATTTAAATATTTTAGGAGAGTTTTCTAAATGTATACTGTTTAATTTATCCTAAAATAATTAAAATACACAGCCATGAATTAATTCATGTAATAAATCTAAGATACTATATTACATTTATCATTTTAATATAGAAAAACATGTGTTAAAAACATGATTACATATTACTTATAATAAACTAAATATTTCTTAGTAAATATTTCAAAAGTGGATGAACTCCAGTGCATGATGAAAGCAGAATGGATACATTAATACAACTGTATGCACCCTTGCTTCATAGTTAGCAGTAGTGAATGATCTCAGCAGAAACTGGAAGCGGGAAACAGAGAAAATCCATTGGAGTAGACTGGGAGGTGGGAACCATTCACTTACTATTTACAAAAATGCCTAATACTAAAGATGAACGAAACTGAGAATTCAGTGGTGACTTGTTGTGGGATAGAGTGCTTGTTTAACTCTGTAAAGATATGTTACTTTTGCTTATGCTGTATTTGTTTAATTATGTAAAGATGTGTTGCTGTCTTACCTTGCCTGCCTAAGGCACCTGATTGGTCTAATAAAAAGCTGAATGGCCAATAGTTGGGCAGGGGAAGGATAGATGGTGCTGGCAGGCAGAGAGGAAGACCCCAGCTGGGGGCCGGCCAGCCAGCCAGACATGGAGGAAGCAAAAAAGCAGGATGGACAGTACATAGATGAGGTAAACGAGCTTCTGGGCAGCACATAGATTAATAGAAATGGGTTAATTTAAGTTTAAAAAAAAGCTAGCAAGAAACAAGCCTAAGCTAAGGCTGAGCATTCATAATTAATAGTAAGTCTCTATGTCTTTATTAGGGAGCTAGTTGGTGGCCCAAAGAAAACCCCAACTATAAATGGCACCCAAACATAGGGCATGTATTTTTACATAGGGCCTGGGAAAGCTGGAAAAAAAAAAAAAAGAAACCAACATGGCTTCCTAGTAGCCTGGTGCTCGTAGTGTACGGTGACCTGTACAGCAAGCACTTGAGCAGCTGGCGTGTTAACCAGAAACAACAGCTAAGTAAAAATACCCACCATAATGTGGGCACCAACTTCTTAGAGCTGAGGTGATTAAATGCAGCTCCCAGTTAAACTCAACTCTTGGTCAGGCCTGCAGGGCATAAAGCTCGGCTCTCACAGACCCAAGTTGGGTGGAGCCAGCTGTTAGTGCAAAGTCGAGCAGTGAGTTTAAGGTTGGGCTCATATGGTCAGAGAACACTACAGGTACACAGTAAAGCAGGTCCAGACAGGAAAAAAATACAAAACTCTCATTAGGTTACAGTTACAACTCTAATTAGTTTGAAAATGTGCGTAGGTGCTTAAGAAAGAAAAGAAAATGGGTATAGATGGTCATAGGAAAAAATAAATAGTTTGAAAATAGTACAGTCTTTAAAGAGAGAGTGAAGTAATATAAAGGAAAAAAGCCATGTAAAGACGGGAAATACACAGGGAGTCTATGGATCCTGTCTGGTGTTGTGTTGACTTTGAATTTTTTGAATGCTAATGAGAGAACAATAGCTGCTGAGAGACATAGGATTGTAACAGGGACTGCTGAATTAAACCAGCCTAGATACTTTAGGGATGTCTTAACTTTAAAATGGAATTCAGAAAACGAGGTTATGCTTTTGTTTCCACAGGAAATGAAAGGCTGTGGATTCCTTCAACGTTAGTAGAGATCAGGTTTGATCGGGGAGACCTCCTGAAAATTTTGATAATAAAGAAATAAACCAAGAAAAAAAATTACAAGACAGGTGATGTATATGCTAGTCCTCCTGCATGGGAACAGCTCTGAGACTGGACAACAACTGTTACAACTAGTTTTTCCATAACGTGACCATTGTCTCGGTTTTCTCAGGGTGCCTTGGAGATACTGTTGCCTCCAGACAACGGGGAGCGGTCTAGAGAACACAACACCCACACTCCCAAGAGGTGGGTGATTTTTGGTCATTTGGTGGGTTTTGGATATTTATCATCATTTTTTTTTTTTTTTTTTTGTTTTTTGAGACAGGGTTTCTCTGTGTAGCTTTGCGCCTTTTCCTGGAACTCACTGGGTAGCCCAGGCTGGCCTCGAACTCACAGAGATCCGCCTGGCTCTGCCTCCCGAGTGCTGGGATTAAAGGCGTGCGCCACCAACGCCCGGCTATTTATCATCATTTAGGAGTGATATAGGAATATAGGATAAAAAGACAACTATTAACCTCAAATATTTTACAATGGTATAGATTTTGATATACTGGTACAAATTTAAAGTTATTTTTGTTATACTGTATGTATATTTCTATTCTTATTTGGGGTGTTGTGCTTATATAGCTCATTTAAAAATGTAATGTATAATTAAGAAATGCAGATTAGTAGTTAGTCATCTATAGTAACCAAATTTATAGCTATATTAGGTATGTTTTCAAGGTTAAACAGATATATTTTAGATAGGTGACCTTCAAATGCTTCAGAAACCTACAGATATGGCATTTAAGATGTTTACTAACCTAAGGCTTTTCATGACAGTGAGACATGTCTACTCCTGGCAGCACCAATCTATTTCATAAAAGAATGATGGGCATCAAAGAACCTCCATACAGAGTTTGCTTTCATTGTGGCAAAGCTAGCCATTTGGGCAAGAAACTGTCTTTGCTTCGACAGCTGACCATCCAAACTGGACATGCAGGACACAAAGGAAAGAGACTGCCCAACTTTGTCAGGACAAGGTGGGACAGTCCTTCAAGATTCTTGTTTTGTAGAAAAGTCTGCCAGATACTCTAGGCCTGTAGGCTGAAGATGGATGCCACAGTGTTGCAGAAGAACCTTGGGTGACTGTCCAGGCAGCCAGATGTCTCTGTTGTTTTTATATTTTTGGAAGTTGCTTGCTCTGCACTTCCTGTTTACTCAGGTAATAGCATATCCTTCTGGGGTCTTTGCTGGAGTTGAAGACTAGATAGTTATAATTACAGTTTTCCTTAGTCATGAGAAGGTAAATTAGGTATAGAGCTTTGGACTCATCAAGATAAGATAGATAACAGAGTGATTTCTCCTCATTTGGCAAATGCAAAGAGACTGGATATTGTAAATGTAATTCTTACTTAATAACTGTTCTTATTGTATATAGTTTTACTGTGTTAAAGTCAAAACCTTTCTTCTTATTTAGAAAAAAAAGGGGGACATGTTGTAGAATATTTGTTTAACCAGGCAAAGATGTGTTACATTTGTTTATGCTGCATTTGTTTAACTATGTAAAGATGTGTTGCATTTGCATTAATTAAATACAATTAACCTGGGCGAAGAGGGACAGGGTTAGCAACGAGTGGACAGGAGGTAGCAGGGAGGAGGAGAGCCTGGGGGTTTAGTTGGGGCAGTGTGGAGGGAGAGAGGCTTCTGGGGACACCAGCTAAGAGAGGAAGTTAGCCAGGTGCCACTCTGTCTGAGCTCGCACCTTTTCACCCTAGCCTTTGAGTCTGGAGTTTTATTAGAACGATAGAGATTTAGGTAAAGCTACCTTCAGTGGCAGCAGCAGAGCCATTGTCGGGGGAACAGACTTGCCCCCAGGCTATGGCCTGAGCAGCTGGGCTGACAGTAGTTTAAAGGGCAGCCCCCACATAAAACAGCCAGCTCTCACCTTAGCTTTTAGACTACGTGAACTCTACTACAATCTGGACCTTTGATGTTGCCAAAGGCCCATGTTTTCAGGTCTTGTCCAACGTGTGGCCCATAAACCAGATGTATCCCAGTATATCTATGGATGTGCCTGAATCCATTTGTAGATAATAATGTCTTATCACAATGTCGAAGAAGCTTGGTGACTACCCAGGGTCATGCTGTCGGGAGTTCTGGACTCTTTAGGGAAGAAGGGCTGAAAGGGAAGACCTTAGATTTTGGGTGACTATATTCTCAAAGGAGATACTGAGACTCTGACCCTCTTATATTTTCCTCTTGCTTCATAACCACACGGCAAACATTTTTAGTTTTTCGAGACAGAGTTTCTCTGTGCAGTTTTGGTGCCTGTCCTGGATCTTGCTCCGTAGACCAGGCTGGCCTCGACCTCACAGAGATCCACCTGGCTCAAACATTTCTTATGACCTACTTATGCTTCCCTGCCACAGATCCAGAACACCAGGGCCAGTCTTGGAGAGGAACCTTTCAAAGCTGCAAATTCAACTTCTTTTTTAACAAGTTGAACATCTCAGGTATTTTTCTTCAGTGATGGAAAATCTGGCTAACACAAACCTCCTTCCGAGGTACCAGTGGGAGACGAGATTAGATCTGGCTTTGGGTAATTAGTTTTGGAGCAAATGTTCTAATAATGAAATCAAATGAATTTCTTTAGAGATTTATCTTCTAGCTGGGCAGTGGTGGCACAAGCCTTTAATTCCAGCACTCAGGAGGCCGAGACAGGTTGATTTCTGAGACTTTGAGGCCAGCCTGGTCTACAGAGTGAGTTCCAGAGCAGCCAGGACAACAGAGAGAAATCTTGTCTTGATAAACAAAACAAAACAAACAAACAAAAAGTTTTATCTGCTAAATGTTAAGTCTAATATGAACTCATGTCTCAGACAGCAAATTCATTCAAGCAATTGTTTACGTTCCTCTTGGCAGGCAGGGATAGCCATTTGTGGACCTTCTCGGTGATGGTAAGTGAGAACACATGAGGCAGCCTATAGAATCAGATGCAATCTTTACATTTCACCTCGAACCCTGCCTCCCTCCTCTTCAACACATCTGGCTCGACAGTGGGACCCAAAGGAAAGGCAGTGAGGACTGTCCCTATCCTTGGATGCACACAGCTCACAGGAGACACACACTCAGTAGTCATGGCAGACTCCATCCCCATCTGAGAAATCCCACGAGCACAGGAAGGCTTGCCTCCAGAGTGTCAGACAGGCATCTCACCTCATAAAGAGCCAGATGGGGGCATGAGCGTCTGTGTCCATGGCTGGGGGCAGCAGCAGTAAAGGTGCTGAGGGTAAAGGGAGCCTGGAGCTTTGGTAGGACAATGTGGAGGTCCAGGGGCCAGAGCTCCAGGAGCATGGGCAAGGTCCAAGTGGAAGCCAGGATCATATCCTGGAACCTTAGCAAACTGGATTTGTTTAAATACAAAGGGGAACTGGTGAAGGGTCTGAAGAAAGTGACCTACCCAGCCACAGTGAGACTGAAGAGGTACAAAGATGAGGGTGTACCTGAAGGCAGCTGATGAGGGTGGTGGCAGAAGATGATCCCAATGTCTTTCACACCGACATTGAGGTCATCACCTTCCCCAAACTCTTTATTTACAGTAGGACAAACTATTCCACAATTCATAACTCTACCCATAGTCCTTGAAAAAACATTAGCAACCATTAAATAGTAGGCCAGGATTGTGCCAGTTGTGTAGCTTGGTCTACTTGAGGGACTCCACGCAGTGAGAGCGGGGTCTGTCCCTGATGCTTTGGCAGGCTCTTGGGAACCTACTCCTCATACTGGGTTGCCTTGCCCAGCCTTAATACAAAGGGAGGAGCTTAGTCCTACCTCAACTTGACATGCCATGCTTTGTTGACACCCATGGGAGGCCTGCCCCTTTCTGAACAGAAACAGAGGAGGAGTGAATGGGTAGAGGCAGAGAGGAGGTCGGGGGGTAGGGGATGGGAGAAGAGGAGGGAGGGGAAACTTTGGTCAGGATGTAAAATAAATGAACAAATTTAATTCATTAAAAAAACGGTAGCCCAGGAATATATCCCACATGTTTCAGTATCTTTCTTTGCGTTGTGTTTCTTAGTTACTCCGTGTGTACCACATGACTCCTTGGTTTCATTGATTACATCATCAGAGCAGCACATCCTCTGACACTGGCACAGAATGGTCCTCAGACTAAAGAAAGCAAACGTGTATATGGCCAGTTACATCTTCTCAGAGACTGGACAGAACAAAAGCCCTGTGTGGTGGATGGTAGAGACAACAAAGGGATTTCTGTCTCCATTCCAGGGGAGGTAATTACGTAGCATTCCTAAAACCAAAGATTTTGTTCCTGTATTTTTTTTTTTTTTAAAATCAGGGTGCTAACCCATCTGGCTACATGGACAGAAGGAGCTTATTCTCGCTGCACTTGCATCTCGCTTGCTGCCGGAGCCTAGCCCTGGAGGAGGGTGTGGGCCCGGGGCCCAGTTCTGCTAGCTGTCGAAGTGTGTGTTCTCGCACCAAAGGTGGTGCTTTCCTGTTTCTCCCCAGAGTCGTGGTTCTGTGGTTTTCTAAGCAACCATTGAAGCCTGCTGTTTCAAGAACTGAGTTTCAACAACAAGTGGGTGTTGCAAAGAAAGCAACATAGATTCTAGATGAGCGTGGAGTGACAAATCTACCCGTAGAGTTTCTCTATTCATATGTGAAAAATGGAAAGCGACGAAAGTCTCCAGTGCCTCAAAGAAATCTATTATCTATCTATCTATCTATCTATCTATCTATCTATCTATCTATCTATCTATCTATCTATCTATCTATCTATCTATCTATCATCT